AGTCATTGTATAGAAGACAAACAGTGGCATTTGTGTAATGTAGCACCATGAATTTTGTTGTCTGAAGGGTCTTAAGAAGATATATTGTTTATGTTTTAAAGTTGTACATTTGAGTGTTCTGCATAGCTGTAATGTGAAAGTATATATATATATGAGATACCTCCAGATAAAATGCACTGCATTTCTCAATAGAAAGTCCAGGGATTGGCTAGCATGGGAGGATTGGTTAAGGATACAAAGTCCTTCATCTGCACCAATTCAAATATAGCACAGGCTAGAGATGACTGACATTTGTTACCATCTCTGCTATATATTTAGGGACATAAGCGAAAATCAATAAGGGTATGTCTACACTACCCTCCTAGTTCGAACTAGGAGGGTAATGTAGGCATACCGCACTTGCAAACGAAGCCCGGGATTTGAATTTCCCGGGCTTCATTTGCATAAGCGGGGAGCTGCCATTTTTAAAACCCCGCTGGTTCGAACCCTGTGCAGCGCGGCTACACGGGGCACGAACTAGGTAGTTCGAACTAGGCTTCCTAGTTCGAACTACCGTTACTCCTCATTCCACAAGTGGACAGGTCTGTATCACAAAACCTAAGTATTTAGAGAATTCAAGGAATAAATGGGTATGGAAACTGAACCACTCTCTGTTAATGTTGGTCACCATAAAATAGCATATGAGGCACTGTAGGAAGCTTGCACTACATCACTGGCTATGCATAAGTACATAATTGCATTCTTCAGGGCTGTCAATCTAGCAGTTTTCATTAGCACTAAAATTCACTGAAGCTAAAAAGAGAATTGAAAGTGCCACAAGTAAAGCACCATATCCCTGACTCTAGCAAGAAAAGAAACTGGATGAGTGTAGGCGACACTTTCATACTACCTTCAAAGAACAAAAATTAAATAATGTTCTTAAATATAGAGCTACACTAATTTGGAGAGTCTAAAGCACAGACGCAGCTGCATGTGAAAAACCCCAAATATACTTGTAATTCAAAATCCTTTTGAGAGACATACAGTACCTAAAATATAAAGTATCAATTGAAAAATATCTATATTTTTAAAATGAGGAATAACATATTTCTGACAGCAACAGCTTTTGTATATATGAATTATATGAACTAACAATAATATACTTAGTGTCATTCAAAGTACAAATAGAAAGTGGGAGGGTTGAACTACTCTTGTCTCAACCTAGAGACAGCTTTTGTAATCCCAGTAGCTGAAATCAGGATTTATTATGCAATACACAGTCAAAGCAATAAGTACCAAATGAAAGAAAACCACTAGACTGACTTCCTAAGGGATTTTTGTCTGCTCCTGTACAAACACTGCCTCTTCTTGTTGGGCATAAAATACTGACTCTTCTTGTCCCCCTTCCCCCCCCATTTTTTTCCTTCTCTCCCCTTCCCCTCCCGCTCTCCCCCCTTGCTGACTCTTCTTGTCCCCCTTTCCCCCCTCCATTTTTTTCCTTCTCTCCCCTTCCCCTCCCGCTCTCCCCCCTTGTCCCCTATTTATTTTAGTTCTGGACATCCAACACTCTGGTCATCTGAAGAAGTGGGCTGTACCCACGAAAGCTCATGATACCATCTACATGTTTTGTTAGTCTTTAAAGTGCTACCAGACTATTTGTTGTTTTTTAAGTTTACACTGCTCAATGGAACTTCTTCCGCTATGTCTACACTATCAGGCTATTTTAAAATAAGTATTTCAAAATAATAACTCCAGAAATAACTATTTCAAAATGAGCTTAATCCACTTCACAAGAAGGAGTTATTATTTCAAAATAACAAGCTTGGGGGTCTTGCCGGACCAACTTGATTTTCATGCAGACCTGTTCCTGGATTTGCATGTGGCCTTTGGTGGCCAGGCTGGCAGCTTTACTGTGACAGACGGCTGCATTCCTCTGTCTAGTGTGGAGATACTGGATGTTGGGGGCATCCCCCCAAACCTGAGTACGGTCCACCCTGATCTACACCCTAGACTCCTGGGAGCTGGCAGACTGTTCCTGGGGCACAGTGGAGGGCTGGTTGCCAGTGGCTTGCTGGCTCATGTTTTGGAGCCACTGGATCGGGGCAGTGACTGCTGGCTCTGGGCCGGCAGGCTTGGAACTGGCACAAGCACTGTGGCCAGAGTCTGCCCCTTTAAGGGCTCTGGGGCTGGGAGGAAGGAGAAGAGTTTTCCTGGTTTTGCCCAGAGTGGCCACCAGGGGAAACTGGGAAGGCTGGAGGCCAGCTAATTCGGACTAAGCGTCTACACAGAGCTTATTCCAAATTAGCTAATTCGAGTTTGGCATTATTCCTCGTAGAATGAGGTTTACCAAATTCGAATTAAGTGCCCTGCTATTTCGAATTTAATTTGAAATAGCGGTTTGCTTGTGTAGATGCTATGGAAGTTAATTCGGAATAACGGCTGGCATTCCGAATTAACTTTGCAGTGTAGACATACCCCTTGTTATTTCAAAATAAGGGAGTTATTTTGAGATGACTTCTCAGTGTAGGCATTCCCTTTAGTTATCAATTAGTCCTTTTTCCTACAAGAATTCATAATCAATAATCTGAATTTCAATTTGAACATCTTCCTAATCCCCAAACTGGAAAATTTCCATCCTAAAAGTCATTGTTCTGTATTTCTGTTCTTTCAAACCTATATCAATTTGAATTCGGAATAATTTATGGGACACCAGGTTTCTAAATCTTGAAGTACATACAGTCTAGGACAGTGAAGAGAAATTTGGACTATGATTCTGAAATCTTTCTGAGTGGGCTTTTCATCTCAATTTGTACACACATATGATTATGAAAATTTGGACAGTTTTGTGTTGTAAAGAGAAATGTGTGAAGGTTCCAGCAATTATAATGAGCACTTTCAGTGTCTTCCTTTCCTCTAATTCTTTGAAACTTGCAGAATATTTTGAGGTTGTCAAATACTGCTTAGGGTCCAAATGGCTCAAAGCTACATTGAAATGGAGAATTTCTGCATGAAGTCCTGGTCTCCAACCAGAGCAAGTATTTGATACCATACAGCTTTTGATAAGGTTTTCCATACTTGCTTCCATAGGGTACGTCTACACTAGCTCGTTAGTTCGAGCTAGGTAGGGTAATGAGGGCAAGCAGAGTTGCAAATGGAACCCGGGATTTAAATATCCCGGGCTTCATTTGCATGTTCCCGGGCACCGCCATTACTCCACGAGGAGTAACGGCAGTTCGAATTAGGATCTTTAATTCAAACTACCTACTCCGTGCCGCGTGTAGCCGTGGGCACGGAGTTCAGACTAAGGGGGATTTAAAAATGGCGGTGCCCGGGAACATGCAAATGAAGCCCGGGATAGTTAAATCCCGGACTTCATTTGCAACTCCGCTTGCCCTCATTACCCTACCTAGCTCGAACTAACGAGCTAGTGTAGATGTACCTATTCAATGTTACAAGATTGTTCAGGTGAGGCCAGAAAGACATAAGACACTCTTTAGATCTGAAGGCCTGAGGCAAAATATTTGATCAGATCTAACATCACTATGACATTCCCCCAAAACAAAGCAACTAGCTGTTATGGTAATTCACAATGGCAAAAATTTGAATGTATATATTCCAAATGCAAAACACAAATGGAGTTACTATTCAGGATTTAAATATTTTCTACAATCTAGAACAAAATGCTGATGCAAAACTACTCTCACAGGCCAGAAAAGTAAAGTTTAAAAATTTAAGCATTTTACAGACGAATTAACTGAAGGAAATGAAAAAAGAATAAAATAATTAAAAATTATAAAAATACAAGAACATAGCTACTGAAAAAGACAGTGGATTGAAAAGGAGATCCTTACCTGTCAGAAAAAGAAAAACTTCTAAGTATATTGATAATCTCACTGGTAGAAAGTTAAGCACTGCAACCTGGTGCAGTAATTAATCAGTTTCAGAATATTATGATATGGAGCATTCCAGTCCCTCAAAGTGGACAACTATTACAAATATTTATGTGTATAAGCTTAATTACTAGAAAATGCATCTTGCATTTATGAATATATTGAATATTATTTACGCTCTACTGTCAAAAACAAAATTTAAAAATAATGATCTTTTCAAGGTGTGCATAGGGAAACACACATATGCAGAGAGAGAGAGGAAAAGAGAGAAAGAGGCCAAAAAAATCTTATGAATTGATTTGTATTTTTTTACAAAAATATTTGTAAAATAGATGCCTACATAATTTTTGTAAAGGTAAATCACAAAGGAAAACTCTGAAACACTGACCTCAGCAATTTAAATTGAAAAACAAAGAAGGTAATTAAACAAGATTTGGTCACACTACCACGTATACTGCCTTAAGTATCCAATTTACACTTTCCTCTACCAACTCAAGGTAAGTGCTTTTATTAATGTTTCTGCTATTTTCTGCAACCTACATTGATCTTTAATATTGTTCTGTTGAAAATGGAGTTGCAAAGCAAATTTTTACTTACAAAATCAAACAAAAACCTATGCACGGCAAATAGTATGACAATTCAGAATTGTCAGAATTAAACCAAATTTCTGAACATGCCCATTTTACTGTAGTAGTAGAAATGAAAGGCAGTAACAAACTGTATACATTCAATACTTGTGAAGTTACATACAAGCCATTGTGCTTAAATATTTTAAAAAGTTCAGACTGAAGACAAAACTACTGTGCTTTCACTTCTCCAGTGTAGAATCTAATTATAAGGTCTTCAGCTGGTGCCAAATGGCATAACTTCATTAACTAAATTAATTACCTTCAGCTAAGGATCTGGCACATATATTTTAAGAAACAATGCATTGTTGTGCACCACTCACATTAGCATTATGAATATTTCAGATGCTCATTGGCAATTACAAAAGGCACTGATTAATGCTAATGAAAAACAAACACAAAAATGTCAACTTCTGCTTTTACACATCTTTAGCCTAGAATGTAACACGTTGTACACACTACTTTAGATGAAAAATACAGAGTATTAGTAATATCAATAACCTACTTTGTAACCTCCGGGTAGGGCTTTCACCATGGAGCTGTCTACGTGGCAAATATGGTGAGGGATGGGGAAGAGGCAACGAGGAAACATCATGTGTCTGAAGTTTGTACCAATGAGGTTCATCATCTAATAGTGCTGTCTCTAGCTCAATAAGAATCTACAAAAGCATCAAGCAAAGGTGTTACAAAACCCCCCACTATTTTAAAGCAGACATTTCACCACATTTTAGTCTATTATTTCTTTTAATGTTAACATACACATTTGAAATTAAAAAGAGTTACTGCAATTCACTCAAAAATGAGCCATCAAGTAACTTACAGATACCTGTAGCAAAACTTGATACTTAATAAAGTAAAAACAGTTCTAGCTTTAAAGACAACATTAGCACATTCATGAGAATCTGAACATCATCTAGACATCTTGGGAAAAATTGAACAATCATATTTCAATATCTTCAGTAAAGTTACATCAGGAACAAATTTGGACCAATATCAACAACCCTCAAACACTACAACTTTTTTAAGCTATATGTATGCTGTTATTAAAACAGAACAACTAAAGAATGTATCTGATACCAGAATTATATTGGAACTTTCAGGAAACTTTTAGGAAGAGTTACTATTAAGCAGAGCAAAAGTGTCAGCTTTTTTATTTTTACATCCAATAAAAATATGTTGTTCAAAGAAGCCCCGGAAATCATCAGTCATCCACATTCTAATGACAAAGTCACTAAACTTCTGACTGAATATGAAGAATCGAAGAAGTTCTAAATACCTCTCCTAAAAATTCACTTTCTTCCTCACGAACACGTGCTTGGTCCCAAAGGGTAATCTCCAACATTCGTTCTCTAAATTCTCTCCGATGAACTGGAGAATAAATGAACGTCTGGTTCCATTTGGGTTCCAATGTCTTCTTTACTGTTTTTGTTCTTCTTTTGTTTTTATCACTGCAAAGAACAATTTAAATATTAAAGACTTCAAAACCCTATTACATTGTACGAAGCATGATTTCTTAGAACAGTGATATTTTGTGTGTAGTTTGAAAGACTAACAATAAACCAGAAGGAATCAGAATTAAGGGAGTTTCTGGTGAAATAAAGATTAGGGTTTGGAATTGGTCATAATTTACTCTTTTGTATTCATCAAGTATGTTTATAAAATTCATTAGTTTAAAACTTGCCAGGCTTTTTGCATGATTCAAATGCTATACTATTATATATATATTAATATCAAGAAGATACTGGCACATTTGCAAATACTTTAAGTGTAGCATACTAGTTATATGGATAACAATTGTGGTTTTTGTGAACTAGTAGCTAGATATTAGAACAACATATTAAATATGTAGTTCCATTTTATCCATTTCGTTAAAACAAAGAACTTAATTTTGTATTTCAATACTAAAGATTTGTTTACCATAGAGAACTAAGTTACATTGGACAAGTTTTTCAAAGGAAATTTTTTTAGTAAGAGCTTCATATGATCACCTAACTAAATGCCTAAGATGTTTTAACCATACTTTTCCTATAGCAGGTCACTTTTCCATGCACAAGCGATTTATTTTAGCCTACCAGGTTTATTCTTCAAAGGAAAGAAAAAGCAGTTTGGCTGTCAGAAGAAAACTAATTTTCCTTTTCTATAGGAGAGGAAATACCAGGAATATTTAAAGGAAAAATTCTCTGTTCCTCACATAAAAGAAAAAAAGAATACCAGAATGTGTTTCCTCTAAAACAATATCAAATCACAGTACAATTTCCAAAGTATATTATTACAGGGACTTTTATTTATTATTTTATTTTAATAAAATATTTCCATTTATTTTGTTTTATACTTGAGATTTTTTCTTTTTATCAACTGACCATCCATTTCCCACTTAGAATTTTTATACCCATGTCTCAGTGCATGGTAAGAGCTCTAATTAGCTAAAAATATGAATAAAGGAATTATTGGTGGGCATATTGATTGTTAAAAAGTGATCAAGTTAAATATAATGAAACAAAGAATCAGATTCCTAGTTAATAAAGATCTTCACCCATTACATTGTCTTCAATGACATTATATCAATTTGTCTGAGCTGAGGATCTAAGCCACTATACTTTATTAGGCCAATGGTTTACAAAAATTTAAGGTAATAAATCCCAACAAGTGCCTTTTTGTAAGAAATGCTTTTGAGATACAGCAATGCATATGATACAGGTTGAACGTCTCTAGTCCGGCACTCTCTGGTTCCGCAGCATCTTTGGTCCAGCATGATTTTAGTTAGCCAGATGTCCACTTATCATGGGTGTGGCTAACTTTCCCATAGTCCCATAAATTTTGTTTACGGCTACCAATCCTGGGTCTCAATGTTCTGTGCTATTATTTACCCCTAATTTACCCCTAAATGTCTTCTGAGCCCAGTAAGCACCGGAAGTGTTGATAATTCTATCAGACAATATTGATCTCCCATGATTCGGCAAATTCTCTGGTTCAGCGTCGGTCTGGTCTCAGATGCTGGACTAGAGAGGTTCAATCCGTATTGCCATAAAAGATATCACAGTATACAAGTTGACATAAAATGAATAAACCATTTGTCTTCAGTTAACTTCTCCAATTTATCCTATTTCAAGTTACTTCAACATAATATGTATGGTGAAGGTGAAAGGACAGTCTTGCAAGGAGCTGAATACTCTCAATTCCTACTGAAATCAATGAAAATTGAAGGTACTTAGCACCTTCCATGTGTAGACCATTCTTTCTAATTAAATACTTAAGATTAACTGGCTGAGATGCGATGGATAGGGAGGCAGAATCCCCAGGCTGGGAAACATTTATGCATAGCATAACAAATTCAGTGAAAATACTAATTTAAAAAATACATATTGTTCTTTAGCTCCATTAATATGTTCTTCATATACTGACTCCACAAATCTCTCCTGAATTTTGCAACATATCACAAAATAAAGCCAAATGTTTCTTTCCAGCAAGAGCAAAGGAAACACAGGTGAGCAGATCCAGACACAGG